TGTTCCTCAGTTGGGGTTTGTCTGCTGGTTCCCTCGTGATTGGACTAGGATTACGGATTTGCAGACAGAATCCCACAGAGCCCATGAGCCTTCTTATCACTCCCTGCCAGGACGTGCGATGATCCACACACACAAGTGCTCTTCCCCTTCCCCTTCCCCTTCCCCGCTGGGCGAGGCTGACGCGTGTCCATTCCTCCCCCAGAAGCTGCCGATTGTCTATCTCCCTGCTCTGTGCTGTGGAAGCTGGTCACTACAGCAGTTGACGCTGGGTCAGGTCCACCTCACAGGCGCCCAGTTGTATTCTTGATTCTTGTCCCCTGCTCAAGTGGGAAGTCCTGGTACTTCTCTGCGCCTCAGGGAGTGAGTGCCCACAAGGGTCACGTCCCCTCTCAGTCCTGTCCTCTCTTTGCATGTCACCCGATGCCTGCCTCCTCCTGCCTGAGCCCCAGGTTGGACTGCACGTTTGCTCCCTCTGAGCGCAGAGCTGTCCACAGTCACAGCGGCAGGAATGGCGGCAGCACGTTAGAGTTCTGCTGTTTGGCGCTGCTAACCATCCTTTACGTGGATCAGCTCATGTCACTGCAGCCACCTCCTAGGCAGCCACCTCCGTGCTCCCTGTTGTACAGGTGAGGGGCCTGAGCCGCAGGCAGCGCTCGTTGCCAAGGGAGCTGGGCCGGCCCTGCTCCCCAGTGCCAATTTCTCAGCCACGTGTCTGGTAACCAGCAAGTGTGGACTCTCTCTCTAAAAGAATACAGCGATGCATTGATTAGCAAGACTGATTTTCCTCTTTGATTGACCTTGTTTGATTAGGGAACGCTCTTTAAAACATAGAAAAAAAATAAAACTTTTAAAAATAGTCATGCGTCATAAAAGGCATTGAAAGCAAACTTCCATCCAGTTCCTCTCCTTTAAACACTGCTAAGTACAACCAATGGACATAAAACTCTGGGGAGGGAGGGGGGCAAAAAAAAAATCAAAATATATTTTAAAAATAAATAAATAAAATAAACACTGTGGTCGGCCTTGGCGGGCTTGTTAAAGTGACACGCTGGTTCCAGCATGCACGTAGCATTATTTTATATTATCACCGTTCAGACTAATTTAATGTATTCATAAGTAGGGACCGGAAGATGTAGTTTCGAATTTAACATCCTGATTCTTGAGGTGAAGGGAATGAGCAAGAGTCAGTAAGAAGTCAGAAGGCAGACTTAAAACCAAAATAATGCACAGGTAACATGCTATAGTATCATTAGCTGACAGAACTAGAGGATTCTTTGATCCCATCTTCCAATTCATTTATTTGTGCCAAAAAAAATCTTTATGCAAGGCCATGTGCTAGACTAGAATACATGTGAACAAGGTGGAGAAGGAACCTGTTCTCAAAAGGAGCCACCTAGTGGGGAGACAGACACTTAGGGTGGACAGTAGATTGCATCATAATAAGCTGTCCAAAGGAAGCCCGCACTCATTGCTGGGATGGTGCTGAGCCCCTGCGGCTGTGCATTTCTCCCAGAGGGCCTCCCCGGCGGGGGATCAAACCTCGATCCGGGGGTTTCAGATGCATTTGTTGAATTAAATACCAACAAAATATTTCTCAACATAATTGAGAAATTCAACCTAAACTGTTAGGCTCTTAGTACTGATGTGTTGGCAGTATGTCTCCATCAAGATCTCCTTCTGGCCGAAACCAGTTTGGCTGAATGGATAGAGCATCGGCCTGCGGACTGAAGGGTCCTGGGTTCAATTCCAGTTGGGGGCGTGTACCTTGGTTGCGGGCACAGCCCCAGTGGAGTGTGTAAGAGGCAGCTGATCGATGATTCTCTCTCATTGATGTTTCTAACTCTCTATCCCTCTCTCTTCCTCTCTGTAAAAAATCAATAAAATATATTTAAAAAAGAAAAAGAAAAAGAAAAAAAAAAAGCTTCTTCCGGCACAAGTCCCTACATGGGGAATTGCTTCTGGCCGTCCCTCCAAACTGCCTGTGGTTTCTATCTGGGGTCTCACAGCCCTGCCTTGTAGGTTTGATTGCCATGTCGAGAGTTGGCAAGCTGTTCAAAATGGGTCCAGCTGCCAAAATGTGAATTTCCTGCTCCTTCAAGCAAGTTAGCGAGGAGAAGCTCAAGTGCAAAAGCCTTTTCCTTCTCATCTTAGAAGGGCAGAGTCATACCGAGAGAGGAAGACTTCTTGCTGATTTGTGCCCCTCCTCCACCTCTCCCGCCCCCCCAAAAAATAAAAAAAAATAAAAATCTAAGTTTAAGTTAACCACAATCTTTATTTAGTGTCATGTTTTTAACTTAAAAGCATTTATTCAAAGTTTTGAAAAACAAAGCATTCAATACTCAGAGACTTGTGCACCAGCCAATGATTAATGACATGCTCCCCAGCCCTCTGTAAAGTGTCTTCACACCGAAGAGATTTATACAGTGTGGCCTGGCCGGGGAGCTCCAATGTGAGAGGAGATAATCAATACCCGAAAGCCTGGGAAAGGTGTTCTGTTTCCTCCACTAATGACATCGGGGCTCTGCGAGGCAAGGGTGTCTGGAGCATGAAGCACTGCAAAGAAGAATTAATTTAAAATCTGAAGTGGAAGATCAGTTTCAATTAAAATTGCATTTGGACCTGTATTGGGTGGAAGTGTGAAAGCAAGCATGTAGTCTGCTAACTCTCCAGATTGTTACCAGTGAATAAATGAAGCCACTGGTAGGAGCCCCGGTTGTGTTTTTATAGAGGGCTGCGTTGTATTTCACCCACGCTAGAAGGGGAGAAGTAATATGGACAGCAAGTTCTTCTCAGAGGTCTCATGGGATCATTTTTTTTAATTATTATTTGCTTGTTAATTATCAGATGTCTGTGTTTCTATAAGTGATGGGTTGCATTCTTCTTGGGTTCAAACATGTTTCGATTTATTTTACCATGCCTTACCCCCTACCCCCGTTACTTCTAATTTTATTGAACTAGTGAGTTTCCAAAAGGCATTACTCTCTCTCACATACACACACGATATGAAAACACCAGTTTCCATATTTCCAAAATACAGGCCCACTATTTTGGTTAGCCACCAAATACTATATAAACTTTACATAGTTTTTCATTGGTTTTCCAATTTATTCAGTTTTCAGTGTTGTGGGTTTTTTTGTTGTGGTTTTTTTGGCATCTGGAAGAAAATGTAAAGAGTGGTCAGGGCAATTGGAGCCATTCATTAAGGTCCTGTTTCCCCTCCTTTTTTCCTTCAAACATATTGATGCAACATGAAAGGGAAGTTTTCTGGAACACATACAAATGCACTCGGTTCCTTTATGCCTCATCACAGTCTTCAGGGAATCGGACCAAGAAGCTAAGTGACATGAGCCAAGAAGCTAAGTGACATGAGCCATGAGCGAGAAGATCTGATCATTCCAACTGTGGTGGAGTCCTGCAGTAACTCCATGGTCCAGTTCGCTTTTGCTAGAGAGTGTGATGGCGCTTGTAAATGATTTTGAGAAGTGCCCCACGATTGCTAAGGTTTTCCAATCATTGAACAAGTTTTTCTCTGATGACGTCCTTTGTCTTACTGTTTGGATGAGGATCAGGGAAAGGACCCAGGCATAGAATGAGGCCAGACTTGATTGCTAGATCCCAAGACTGAATCATTTTTAGGGAGCTATGTCAATTGTTCTTGGGGCCATGAAGCTTCCATTAGCATGACCAAAAAGATTTCCTGTGTCTGTCCCTTTTTACATGGTTCCCCTGTGTATATCACTGTGAGCTCAATCAGACTTCGGGGGATGGGGAAACCCATCGCAAATAAGTATGTGGTGGTGGGTTGGGCACAGGTTTGGGCTCTTATTTAGTAGCAGAGAGACTTACCATGAGGTATTTTGTGGTCCATCATGCAAGGCTAGTTATTGAGCAAGCCTCAAAAATATGGGTTATTGGATGGGTTGGTCTCATCTCCTAAAATCACTTTGGCCATTACCCTCTTCTGTCTGAGATGTGAAGAAATGAAAGGTAAAGAGCCCAGGGAGCACATGTGCGTGTTCCTGTATATACATGTATACACACAGTACACTTCATTGACTGGGCTGTCTAATGTGAACTTCTAAATATTGTAAAGTTTAGACTTCACTCTGTATTAAACTCTGAAAAGGAGATTTATTGTGATCTTCTCCAGCAAAGGAATTTTTCTTTTTCTTTTTTTTTTTTTCAACAAAGTACTCCTGGTTTGTCATGTCAAGAAAGTTAAAGATCGGAGACAGAAAAGTCTCAGAGCTAGTAAACATAAAGATCAGAGACAGAAAAATCTCAGAGCTAGTAAACAACTTTGTAGACATCGCCCCAGCATGGCTCATTTGCTCATGGGGCAGAGAAGCATGTGAGTGTGTTTTCCTGTTCCTCACTGGTACCCATCAGGGCCAGCGTTATGGTTGCATTCTCTTCCTTTATTTCTGAGTCTTTATCCGAGTGCTGAGTCTAACCGGAAGGTAACCTCAGCCCTGTCTCCAGTGATGGAGGGGATGGAGGAGAGGGCATGCCCTAATCCACCAGTGCACAAACGCGGGCCAAAGTGAGCCATCTTTCAGTGAGCCAAGGGAAACCCTGTCATTGCCTACATCATTCGCAATGCTTCTTGTCCAGAATTGTGTTCCTTTCACTTTCAGTGTTTTCCTTTTCCAGTTCAGTAGCTCCCAGAAACTAAGAAGAGAATTGTGTTTTGTGTTTTCTGGTACATAACTCTGACAGCCTTTCTGCTCAACTCTTTTAATCTGATTACCGATCAAGTTAGCAAATATTTGACGACAAATCACAAACCCAGCTATCTTAAGTCACTTACCTTTTCTGAAGTCTTCCTACCCCATCGAGCAGAGGACTTGGATCCGAAGTTTCCAATGCACTGACGTCTTGGGAGCAGGGACGGGTAGGAAAATGTACCGGGGGAGATGCAGGACGTGGCTTCCCATTTCTTATTTGTTCCATCGCTGACCTTTGAGCCCCGAGGACTGAAGTGTTGTTTTCTTTCACAGGTGCCTACGGGCCTGAGCACTGGGTGACGTCCAGTGCCAGCTGCGGGGGCCATCACCAGTCTCCCATAGACATCGTAGACCAGCATGCTCGCGTCGGCGAGGAGTACCAGGAGCTGCAGCTTGACGGCTTCGACAATGAGTCTTCTAACAAAACCTGGATGAAAAACACAGGGAAGACAGGTAGGACATGTCTTGACCTGTCCACAAACAATGTGAAATGTTGCTGGATGTCTCCCTGTGGTACTGCACAGAACTATAGAGAATGTATAGCTTAGCGAGGCAGCCTCTTGCTTTACTACCCGTGTTTCCCCGAAAATAAGACATCCTCTGAAAATAAGACCTAGCACATGGAAAGATAAGACATCCCCTGAAAATAAGACCTAGTGCAACTTTGGGAGAAAAAAAATTAATATAAGACACTGTCTTATTTTCGGGGAAACAGGGTAGTTGTGTGATTTGGGCAAATTCATTGACCACTCTGTACCTCAGATTTTAAAAATATGATACATGTGGATAATAAAATTGTACCAGCCTCATAAGGTTGTAAGTATTAAATGAGTCAATATTTATAAAAATATAGATAAAACTATTCTAGTTTTATTAGCCTAATATTGCCTCTCCCAATTAAGTTTTCGTAGGTTGTCCATTTGCAATGTTTTAAAACAGAGATGATACACATTTAAATCTTTGTGGATTTTATTTTTAGGTGGATTCATTTCACTTATTTATTTTTTCCAGGCGTATTGAAATATAACTGATATATAACATGCCTATTTATTTATTTGGTATGGGGTTTTTTTGTGTGTTTTTTTCTGTTGTTAATCCTCACCTAAGGATATTTTTCCATTGATTTTCAAAGAGAATAAAAAAGAGGATGAGAGATAGAGAGAGAGAAACATTGATATGAGAGAAACCTATCTTTTTTACCCAGCCCCCCAACCCTAAGCCTTTACCCAAAGGCTTTAATCCATTTCAAATTAATTTTTGTAAGTGGTATAGGTATGGATACATATTCATTCCTTGCATGTGACTATCCCATTTTCCCATCATCTTTTATTAAAGAAACTATCCTTTCCACTTTGAATATTCTTGGCTCCTTTATCAAATATTAGTTGACTATATATGCGTGGGTTTATTTCCGGCCTCTAGATTCTGTTCTGTTGGTCTGTTTGATTACCATACTATTTGATTACTATAGCTTTTTAGTATAGTTTGAAATTAGGAAGTATAATACTTGCAGCTCTGTTTTTTGTTTTTTTGTTTGGTTTTGTTTTTTGTTTTTATTTTTTTGTCAGGATTGTTTTAGCTATTTGGGATTATTTGTGATTCTATAGGAATTTTAGGATTGTTTTTACTATTTCTGTGAGAAATGCTGTTAGGATTTTGATAGGGATTGCATTGAATCTGTATAGCCCTGTGAATAGTATTTCACTAACCACATTTAAGGTGCTCAGTGGCCACATAGCTACCTTAATTATATCATGCAGCACAGAGAGCATTCTATCATTGCAGAAATTTCTACTGGACAGTGCTGTGCAAGTGCACAAATCAAAATAAAATTCTTGGCCCCGCCAGTGTGACTCAGTGTTGACCCAGGAACCATGAGGTCATGGCTTAATTCACAAGTTGTGGCTCCATGGCCTATGATGTTTCTCTCTCATCGATGTTTCTATCTTTCTATCCCTCTTCTTTCCTCTCTCTATAAAAATCAATATAAACTTTTTTTTTTAATTCTCATGTTCCTTGAGAATTTGCTTTGTTGGTGTTTCTTACTACAATAGAATGAATATGAACATTTTGTCATCCTTCAGACCAGCAATTTGATTCTCTTGTTTCTTTTACCCACCTCTGTGAATTGGGCTTTGGGCTCTGTGAATATGTAACATAATATTTTCACCATTTCTAATGCAAAGAGCTGACTCCCTCTTAGTCACTATTATACAACTATTAGAAGTTCGGTGCATGAAATTCATGCATGGGTGGGGTCCCTAGGCCTAGCCAGTGATCAGCGCCAATTGGGCCCTTCCTTCTGGCTGCTGGCTGCTGGCTGCTGGCTGGGGCTTGCTGGATGGAGGGGTTTGGAGAAACTGTAGGAGGTTGGCTGGCTGTGGAGAGGGACCAGGAGAAGTTGGCCAACCATGGGAGGGTTGACTGGGAGTGCACTGACCACCAGGAGGTAGCTCCCGCACTGAGTGTCTGCCCCTGGTGATCAGTGCATGTCATAGTACTGGTCATTCTAGTCGCTTAGGCGCATATATATATATATATATATATATATATATATATATGTATATATATATGTATATGTGTATATATATATATATTATAGGTTGAAGTAGCAGAGTATGCTTTGCTGTGCCCCATTGTCTGGGCTGAAAACAAACATTGGGATCTTATGATATATCTCTGCCTAGTGTTACCTAGGCTTTTGTTGGTGCTTAAGATATGCTTCATATATTAATTCTGAACTCTTATATCTCTAACTTCTTAAAACAAACATGTGTGACTCGCTCTTGCCTCCCCCCCCCCCCCCCCAAATGATTCATTTGTTCTTACCCCTTTAGGAGCCCTGGCTGCTGGAAGCCCTTCTGCCTGGCTAAAATGACTTCACCATCAGCCCGTTGGTCCCATTCATGTTGTGGGTCACAGCATTACTTTTTCTTTTAACCTAACTGGCTGCATGTGCAACTCTTAGGATCCATTTTCTTTCTCCAAAGCAGCATTTGTCTGAGACTATCCGTGGTTGGTTACTTTAGGTTGGCCTGATCTGCTCATGGAATTGCTCCTCACTCATTCAGCACAGAGGTTCCTGGGTCTGGGCACTTTTCATAATGTCTCCATAAGCAGTTCCCATCCCTGCTTTTTGAGCAGGCCACCCTGTCCTGTCCTGGTTTCACCCATTTGAGTAGCTGTTCAGCACAAACATGTGAACTTGTATGTTAGGTGTGCATAACTTTTCATGCCACCCCTTCCACTCTCCCAATGGAGATGCATGCCAGTTGTTACAATTTGGAATTTCTCTACCAGTGGCCCTGCTTTGTATTACACATAGGAGTGTCCTTGGAAGAACTGTGATGGGAGAGTGACCCCTCAGACTACCTGAATGCGGTGGATGGGAGCTTGGCCGCATGATAGAATCAGATCTTAGAGCTGAGTGCCACCTCAGTGCCACATCTTGGAAGCCTGCCAAGGCCAATTCCCTGGGCTCTCTGATCTGGTTTTCTACTTGACTTGCGATGCTTGACAGCCTTCTGCAAAGATAACACATTCCTCTTACAGCTTTCAGCTTGGGATCTCCGGTGACAGGTTTTAGCCGAGTAGAGGGTTCGCTCAATGCAAGTTGATTCATGACCTTGGTCTTCCAGGGGCTGATTATCAATCAGCCTGTCACTCTGCTGGTTTCCTGGAGTGATCCACAACTTGTTGCGTGTCTACGAGTGCCGACTGTAGGTGCTTGATCTGATTTTAGACTCAGCTGTCCAAAAAGAACAAACACAGTCTCAGAAACTTCAGAAGCACGGCGCTGAGAAGTAGAAAGAAATCCTTGTTTCTTCCCAAACAGTACATATTCCTATGAAATTCATGACATCCAACTAGATGGGCCAATATCTCATAAATAATCTACAGGAGTGTCTTTTTAATTTTGAACAGGGACATGGAATTGTTTTTGCAGAAAGATTTCAGCATATGGTGGTTTAGAAACTTGGGTGCAGGGATCAACCTGCTTTGTTCTTTGTATTTATTTGATAGGCACAAACCTGGAAACTTTTCTCATTTTATAAACTTTAAAGAGTCGAGCGAGTTCATAAATTTTCCAGTATTTTAGAGAAATGGCGATTCATTTGCTTTGTCTGTTATGCACGGATTGTGTAAGTTCAAGTGAATGACCAGCCACATGTGGTTCAAGGTGCAGTGTGTCTAAATTAAAGGGGGAGGTTGGGCCCTAGCTGGTTTGGCCCAGTGGATAGAGCATCGGCCTATGGACTGAAGGGTCCCAAGTTCAATTCTGGTCCAGAGCACATGCCATGGTTGCAGGCTCAATCCCCAGTAGGAGGGGGTATGCAGGAAGTAGCCAATCAATGATTCTCTCTCATCATTGATGTTTCTTTCTCTCCTTCCCTCTCTCTTCTTCTCTCTGAAATCATAAAAATGTATTTAAAAACCAAAAATAGCCAAAGCCGGTTTGGCTTAGTGGTAGAGCGTCAGTCTGTGGACTGAAAGGTCCCAGGTTCGATTCCAGTCAGGGGCATGTACATTGGCTGCGGGCACATCCCCGGTAGGGGATGTGCAAGAGGCAGCTGGTCGATGTTTCTCTCTCATTGACGTTTCTAGCTCTCTATCTCTCTCCCTTCCTCTCTGTAAAAAATTAATAAAATATATTAAATAAATAAATAAATAAAAATAAAATAAAAACCAAAAATAAAATAAAGGGGGCTATTCCTAATATTACAGTGGGTAGAATTAATAGGCAGCCTGGAGAATATCAGTTTAAAAACACAACTGTTATTGTACTGAGGTCTTGTAAGATGTTGCCATTTGTAGAAACTAGATAAGGAGACACAGGTTCTCTGTATTATTTCTTACAACTGCATGTGAATCTACGATTATCAGAAACATTAAGACTTTAATGCATAAAACCCCATGTCATAAGCCACATGGCCTGTCTTTGTTACAGTCATTGATTTTTATATCTAAGTTGCCTGCTTAGATGAAGAAAAAACTTTAATTATTAATTTTTTAAGCAACACATTTTCTTCTCCAAGTGTCTCTTCTTGAAACTTGTACTTTTAGAAAATAAATTAAGGAAGTAGTGTTTGTTTCTTCTGGTGGAAATTTACAGGCCACTTATCTGCAAAATAGACTGTCTTTTGGATATTAAAATATGAATTTAGAAAGTTAATATTTAAAGCGGCTTAGTGCACACAGACAGTAACTCCCCCATAAAACAGCTTTAGGGCTCCCATCTGTCTTCCTGGGGCGGGTGCTATATATCCAGCTCAGCATAATCAATGGAGCACGCTGGGTGCAGGTAGCCCACTTCTCAAAAGTTGTCTAAAATATCTTTACAAGACAGATAGCATCTCTCTATTTCTTCCCGAGGAGCCGTAGCTGTCTCTTGTGCCAGTCCTCATTCGATTTCATCTGAAGTTATTTTCCTTTCATTTTTGTGGAATGAAAAG